CGCACTAAATTCTTCGGTACGCTCAAATTGCCAAATATAATCATCCAATTCCAAATTCCTAACGCAAGACATTGTAAGAGCCGACAATGAAGACCAAAGCTCGTGCCACCAAGAARCAGGCAATCAAGCCAAAGGCCGGTGCTGCGGTAAGTGCATAGTACATAGTATGAATCGAAGCAATTGCAACTACCCATTGTACAGAAAAAATCGAAGCGCAATGGCAAATGCAAGGACCAGACGGAGAGGACCAAGAGCGTGCCCAAGATTCGTATGAGCAGGAAAATCACTATCCCGACCGATCAGTCGTCTGCCGCTACCTCAAGCGCCTCCACAAACCCAAAGAGCATATCTGGCAAGGCAACATCTTGTGCCAAGAAGAAGACCAACTGCGCCAGTCTGAAGCGCAAGTTCAACAACTGCATCAAGGCGAATAAGTCTAACAAGCCAAATCAGAATACTTCTCAGTCATATCTCGAGTTCTTGCACGAATACAAACTTCGCAATGGGATGGTTCCTGAGAAGGAGGTCGTGCAGCGTGCCGCAATTGCCTACTGTCTGCTCTCTGAACATTTAAGACAGAAGTACCTTCGCCAGGTGAGTTAGCTTTGGCAATCAGATCCCAACAGTTAATTTTGTGTGCTGACCATCTCACTCCATTCCAGGCTAAGCTGAAGAGGAATGGATTAATTTAGAAGAGTCAAAGTACTGGGTGAAACAGAGCAATTAGTAATAATATTATTCGGAAATTTATTAGTAGTAATTCGATGCGAAACGTACAAATAAATTAAATTCAAAATGTGCATCACTGTTTCCTTTGCAAATACAGTAGAATCCGGTTATAACGACTCCGCTTAAAGCGTCCAACCGGTTATGTCGACGAAAATTCGATGTCTTGGTTGGTCCCCATACAAGCTTATATGAGAGAACCTCCGCTTAGAACGTCTCCGCTTATAACGACAATCCGTTTATACCGACGATTTTTTTCATATCTCTGAGTCGATCACCGGTTATTACGACGCGAATTAATGACAACAAATTTCAGCATAAATAGAATCTGTTAGAAATGTATACATGTATGTATTGATCAGTGATCAGCACCCTTGCTTGTGTGCGTAGCAACGCCACAAATGTTGCTAAGACAGAGAGAGGGAGGCAGACAAAGTACAATGCCGACGTCACAAAAATGTTTCTAAGCCATGTTATTGAAATAAGTTTATAAAAAATGGTTGTTTTGATCAAAAATTTAAATTGTCTCAGTAAAAGCTATTACAAAAATGGCAACCGTAAAAAAAATTGAAAAAAAATATATATTTTTTACTCCTTCTGGTTAAAGCGTCCTCCGGGTATAGCGACGTAAAATCGTCGATCCCTTGAATGGCGCTATAACCGGGTTCTACTGTATTAATATGCTTTTGGCCAAAGGCAGAGTTATTTAAGATGCAATTTGGCACTATTGATAGACTTAGCCCAGCAATGTTTATGGAGATGCGTTGCTCAAACATAGAAGTTTAGATTAAGTTTTTCGTTATAACTCAAAGGTTGAATTGACTATAAGGATTTTCTAGGCGCTGCTGCATTCCTGCCTGTCTCGGCAGACATTCCTTTAGGATTGATTGATTGATTGATTGATTGGTATGCATAAACGAATTGTTTTTTATATATCTGTAAGAAATTGAATCAATAAGATGTACGCAATGAGAAAATTAACTAATATTACATTCTAGTATACAAGTGGATCAGTTTACTTACAAACAAGCAGAGCTCGCAACAAACTATTGCGTTCTATTGCATACACATATATACATACATAAATGTCTTTTACTCACACTCTGAGAACAGACTCAGAGAGCGCAGCCGATTGCCTCGGTTCTTTAACGAGCTCGTTCGTGATCGGCTCGTAACCGTTTCATTTTGTGCTGCCTCGCTCTCAGAGCGAATGAAGCAAAAATCTCTTTTGTGCGTATATTGGTGTGTAAGCTGTGTGTGTATGTAAGCATATCACTTGCACTCGTGAATGGAGTGTGTGCATGTGTGTGTGTAGGTGGAGACCGTTTGCATAAACTCACTGAGTCTTCTGCGAACATCAATCGTCTCTCTCTCCCTTTCACTCTCATACTGTTGCTCGTTAAATGAGCGTCACACGAATAGTGCGACTTAAAGCGCTCAAGAGAAAGCAAAGCGAAAAGGACAAAAGTCATCTGCGAGAGCGAGTGAGCTGTTTTTGCAGACATATTAGTATATGTATGTATGCATGCATGTATGTATGTACACACATATGTACATATTGCATTGCTGGCTCAACTAAATAGCAATTGCATTGTTGCTAGCGTTCTTCTTCTCAAGTAAGTCGGCCTCAGTTCAGTGGCGCGATCTCTTCATATTCCCCAATTACGAATTTATGTTTAGATCTCTTTTCATTTATCCTCGTGTAAATTGTCGCATTTTAGCTGCATTCGCACTCAATTCATTGTTTTATTTATTTATTAATTTTTTCAGCTCAGCTTTCTTGATATTTGCATGGAAAACACTTTGTTTGCTTTGGCCAAATTGCGCAATTAGTTTATGCGAACTTCAATTAATAATTCCGTTTTTATGCCAACACTTTTAGCACCCCAAAAATTTGTAAAATACCTGTGTGTATAGTGAGTGCCTTAACAAAAAGAGTACAAATAAAATGAAATAAAAGACTAAACACACACTGAGAAAAAAGTGGCCAACGGGGCCGCCAAACGAAATTTATGACAAAAATTTTTACACGAAGCGTATGTTGTGTCATGTGGCCATTCATTGCCTTTGCGTCGCCACTGTCACAGAGTCCGTCCATTCGTCCGTCTGTCCACCCAGCCCAACACAGTCGAGCTTCGCAGTTGTCCAGTTGTCGGGCTGCAACGTCTGTCTTTGTACACGACACACAGACACACACACACACACACACACGCACACACACAGAGCTCAGCCCACATCCCTTTCGCACCCTGTGACTGCAGCAGCAGCAGCCAATTGGCTTTTTGTTCACTTCACTTCGCTTTACACTCATTCACGAAAGTGAAACGGGTATATTGGTTTTGTGCAATGTCCGTCTGTCAATATGTATGTAAAAATGAAAATGCGAATCTATAAAGCCTCGATTTGTAAAGTGTCAAGCTTTTTCTCGATTCGCCCGATAGAGAATAACTGTATTTTCTACAGCTAAAGAGTCAAAATGTTAGAGCTAAGTTTCTGTAGACACCCTCTATTAATTTGTCTATAAATAATGTATATCTACGCCTATTGGGGGCGTGGTAAATCGAAAAATGGAGCTGTAAGCGTTTGGGCGTGAATAAGTATTCTCCAGTTGGTAACGCCCGTTACGTTTTTACGTGTTTCATTTTTGTTGGCGCAAATGTTTTCCGCAACTTTTGGTGCATTTCTATTTTTTACTTTTTTTGTTAGTAAAAAATGTGTAAAAACCAGAAAAAAATCGAGCTGTCATCATACATAAAATACACAGACACACACACACACACACACACACATACACACAACAGACAAAGCCATATCTATGAGCTGATATAACTACCTAACTAAATCGGAATCGGCTGCAGGCTGTGTGCAGTCAGTCATACTATATGCAGTCCACTGCATATCCCTTAACACTTGGTGCATAAGATCATCATCAATTAATAATATATTATATACACTATACTATACTCCATATACCATATTATACTATACATAGTAATACATAACAAATCAAAAGTTTCGACTATTTTCGTTGTTGTTGTTTTTGTTTTTATGCCAATGACTTATAGAGTTGCTCGTTGTTCCCTTGACTCGATATTATCGTTGGCGCGAATATTTTGTGCGCTTCATTGATTTAATGGAAAAACTTTTCGGTTCACATTTTGTTTGTCTAATACATATATACATATATATATATATTTTTTTTTTCCAATTTTTTTTTTCTTCTTTTTTGCACAAATCGACGCTCATAAATCGACTGGGTAGCGGTCAGTTTTGGTTTCAAATATCCTTGTTATTGTTGTTGTTGTTGATGCTGTTGTTGTTGCTGTTGTTGTTGTTGATGGCCAGCCAAGTCCATGGCATACGTTTGCCGAAGCTGTTTATAGTAATTTTCAATAGTTTTGCGGTGTTCATGTGAAAAATATGTTCCGCTTGTTTTCCCCTTAACACACACACACACATGCACACATATTTTTCTGCTGCTTTGTATTTTGGCCTGTCTCGCCTGTTGTTTTCACACACACGACTTTAGTTGTTGGCCAGGTTTTGTGACACAGTGTGAATGATATCCTTTTTTTTTTTTGCTGTAGATTAAAGTTGGGAGATTAAAAATTCAAAAGTCTTTGGAATTTGCACAATTTGATTGTTGTTGTTGCCAACTTAATTGACTATTGGCTGCCTGGTGATTGAATGTCCTGCTGTCTGCAGGACTCGAGCTTGTCGCTTGGCTAGCCATGCCTTTCAATTTCACCAAACATGTCCTCCTGCAAATATTTGACAAAAACTGGCTGTGCAGGATGAGCTGGAATGCCAGCTAAGAGATACCCTGCACTGTGCCGAAGCTTATATGGCTGCAGACAGGGTATTTGGCGCGTCGTTCACTCGCCCAGCTCGATGCCAGCTGGGTGCTTGTCCTTGTCATGCAATTAAGTCGAACCCACAGCGACAGCCAAGTCAGACAGTTGACATCCATGTCGTTGAGCTGCTGATGAAGATGCCGATGACGACTTGGCTTGACGTTACTTGACTTGAGTTGTGGTTACATCCCCATACCATGCCCCCATCTCTCCGGTTCTAGTCGCACGCCCAGGCCCATTCGCCGACGCAGTTGCAATTGCTGTTTGCCTAAAGCCCCGCAAAGTGTTTTCCTAGTCGAGCGGAGCGGTAAATGGTCCTGCTGTCGATATTGTCATGTATCTTTTTTCTCTCCTCCAAATATGCGCATAGACAGAGACGGAGACAGAGAGAGAGAGAGAGAGAGAGAGAGAGAGAGAGACAGAGAGCTCTTATTCACGTCAGACAGGTGGAAATTTTGCCAATTAAAGTTTGTTTTAATGAAACAACTTACTTAGTTAGCTACTTATTGTTGCAAGTAATGCAAATGGAGCCGCAGCCAGCTGCCTAGACGCCGACTCCTGCTCACGCTGCTCGCGCTGCGGCACTTGCTCCTAATCCTCTGCCCCAGTTGCCGCCGCATCCTTATTCACTTTGGGCACACAACAAACATTCCTGTGCCAACATCTCAGCTTACTAGCCAATTTACATTGCCAGCAGAGCAGCGCATTGCCGAAATGTGACTCTGTTTACAATAGAGCAGTGTTTCGAGTCACTAACAATATTTAATTTGTTGCTAGTTAGTCTGCAGCTAATTCCACCCAAAGGTGTGAGTGAGATAGTGCACTTGAGTTACAGCTAAAGCTCAGGGCTTTGATCTAGGGAGAGAGAGAGAGAGAGAGAGAGACACAGACAGAGCAGAAGTCTGAGCTCGTGCATATTTGATCAAATCTGTTTCATTTTTACAGCATATCCAGCTTATAGAGTTTGACACTATTAGCAATGACACTTCATATATATAATAAATAAATCCCAATTAGTCTATTAGTAGTAAAAGTTTTGAAGAAACAAAATAAACTGTGGACAAGTTAAACTCATGTGTCAGAGCGACTTTATTTCTATTAATTCACTGAAAGACACCAAAAATACTTTTACTGTCTGCGTATTGGGGATGGCACGACTGCTATGTTATGATTATATGATAATCGATTAGTTTGCTTCAAATTCAATAATCGAATTCTATCACAAAAGATAGTGCGATGAGACATTAATCAATTACTTGCACAGATAAATAATTAATTAAGCATATTTAGAACGTATAAAGTGCATATCGAATACATTTTATCATGCATTCGCTTCATACATCAGAGTTCTCTTCTGCCTTTGATTTATTGTGCTAGAGTGAGACAACGAAACTGCCGAGCTGTTAAACTGTTAAAGGCACAGCACTGTTAACAATGTAGTGTTGGCAATGTTAGCAACGCACAATGTTAACCTCTACCGCTCCTCTACCACTAGCCACTCTATCGTATTGGTATATGAAACATCTGGAACTGAAACACAATGCTGTCAACAGAAAATAGAATCAGGGAACATTTTTGTACCCTTCACCTTATTTATAAAAAATGTTATATGTAGATAACATAGCAGCTCCCCTCCTCCCCAGCTTTGTGTATAAAGCGAGAATCCAACCAGTTTGCAGCTTTGCAAAGAAGTAACAGTATTCAAGCCATTCGAATGGCCGATTCAAACGGTTTTTTCCGCGCTTTTTCGGCTACGTGAATTAAAAACTGTAAAGATACAGGCGTGGCAGGCTTTCAGCAATCCATTCATTGTAGCTCAGGTAAATATTTAAATTTCAGTTTTTACCATGTTGTTATATTCATATATTGTTTTTTTCTTGTTCAGGATAAGCCTTGTTTTTACCTTCGTCCATGTTTGCAATATCAATTGTAGTACTATCATGCTCCAAATAATACTCCATTGGAAAAATATTGTTTTTGCATGGCTCTTAAGAGAAACGGTATTAAATTAATAACCAAATAATACTCTATTTTTATATATTAATATATACATGTGTATATTCTGTATTTCAGCTGACCAGTGATGCATTCTGAAGCTTCAACTCCATCGACTCCAACTACGTGCACCAGCAAAAACTCATCCTTAACATCTTGTTTATTCATTCTCTTAAACTATGTCTTTGTTCGTATTTCAATTTTGTTATTATCTCGAAATATGTTCCTCACTTATATAATATATGTGTTACACATATTGCGTATTAAATTTGAGTAAAATGAATCCCTTTGTTGACATCTCAACAAATTTAAGCCCTATGCATATTTCAGCTGCGTTGCTTTTATCCATATTAATATTTGAATGCATTTCAATGGAAACATATTTGAAGTCTTTTGAGGTAAAACATTAATTACACTTCAGCAAGAGAGACATTTTGTTTATGTTTCTATTGCAGTTCCTATTTCGCTCGAGATTAATCAAAATTCGGTCCTGACATCACTCACTGAAATTTCAGCTTTGATGTATGCCAGTTGCTGTAAATATTGCATAGTACAAGCAGCTATTGAATCAACTTTTAAATGGACTATGTGAGTGTGCATGTGTGTGTGTGCGTGTGTGTGTGCGTGTGTGTGTGTGTGTACTCTGACAGACGGCTTGTAGTTTCAGTTGCTCTTCTATTGTTGGGGGCTTCTTGGCCCACAGCACATCTTGCTGCACACAGAGTCTCTATGATATACATTTTAATAACTAGGAAAAAGAGAGAGTGGAAGGGAGAGAGAGAGTGGGAGAGAGAGTGAGCTGCAGCTGTAGACTAACAACGCTTGAATTTGGGTTGTGGCAGGTGCGAGCTGCTCCTTGCTCAACTTGTGTGTCTATGTGTGTGTCTATGTGTGTGTGTGTGGGTGTGTGCATGTCTGTTTATGTGCGTGTGCGTGTGTGTGTGTGTGAGCGCGGCTAATTAAAATTCCGCATTGCATTTAATGCCGTTGATGAGAAAACGTGCTCAAGACAGCGGAAATGTCCATTTCATTAAAATTTTCTAAAGACAAAACAAGATGATAAATATACGTATATATACATGTACATATATAAGTATATACATATATATTTATATATAATGCACACATATATTAGCGCACTTTACTTGAAAGCAAGCATTTAACCTTCCCCCCTTCCCCCTCTGACAAACCCAGCCTCAATCAAGCAAAACTTTCGAGTCATAATTTATTGTTAAATTTCGTTTGTCATTTATTTATATTTAGTTCTTGTTGCATTCAATACAATATTTGTTTTTTTGTTTTTTTTTTCTCATAATAATTTCATTTATTGCATTTGTATTTTTGTTGTTGTTGTTTTGCTTCTGTTTCGTATGTGAATTCTGTTTGGCTTTCAAGTTCTACGCAAGACTAGAACTATTGCATGTTGGTATCTGTGTGTGTGTGTGTGTGTGTGTGGAGGGACATCAATATTGATTGGCTTTCAACTCACACAAACACATACACGCATATTATTGCTGCAGAGCATTTGGTAAGCTTCGTTTAATGCATAGATTTATTTACTCTTATAGTATTTTTTTGTTTTTGGTTTGTTTTTATATTTTTGGTATTGTTGTTTGTAATTTGTTTTGCTGTATTTTTGCATTTGATTCTTATTTTCGATTTTTGATTTTGTTTGTTTGCCTGCTTTTGATTTGCGTTTAGCGATTTTCAGATAACTTAGCATACACTTTTACAGGGTATCTGCCCGGCTCACGTGTGGCATGCAGCGCTGCCCACATATGTATGCTATGGTTAAGCCAGGGACTGGGGCGTAACATCTTTTGATTTGATTTGTTTTGCTAAGGTTTAGTTTGCTAGCATTATTTGCATTTGCATTTGTGTTTCGTGTTCCACTCTCGCTTTCGCTTTCTCTTTCTCTCTTCTTCTTAGCTGGCCATAAAGTAATTGGTATACTACGCAGCGCTCTGTCACATAAATATGTTTTGCTTAAATATTTAAATATGCTTTCAATTTGTATTTATTTCGTATTATAGCTAAATCCTTGACTAAAGTTATTTCATTATCATTTAAGTAGTTATTTAAAAAAAATTCTATTTATTTATTGTATTACGAAAATGATAATTATAAAGTAGATGACAAAAAAAAAATTTCTTTTGCGTTTTAAAAATGAAACTCTTTGAGT